AGTAAAACTATTGGGTTGATGCATAATTATCCGGACTTCTTTTATAAATGATTTTATTTAACAAAAAATAACATAAATAGTTAGAAAAATATGTTTAATTGATTATTCTGGAGCATATTCACCGCCTACATCAATAACTGATTGCCATTTGCTTGAAAGACGATCGATTCCACGAGCGAAGAATAAACGATCTTTGGAGGCAATCCACGCTTTAACATCGTCTATCAAGTCATCCAAATCGTTGTAGATCTTATTTGTTTGCCAATTTTTGAGCGATCGATTGACGTGGTAGTCCGTTGGGGCTTCTCCAGTTCTTTGAGATCGCGAAACGACTCTGCGGCAGACCATCCCTTTTCGAAGTGGTAGAGCATGATATGGCGAAGATGGATATGATTGTCGACACGCATTTTGTTCACTAAAGAATAACGAATATTTAAAAAAAGAAATAGACAAAAAGCTTTCAAAACAAAAAAGATACAAGCACGCAAAAAGAAGTCCGGATAATTATGCATCAACCCAATAAAATGAAAGTCAAGTAAGACTAAAGCAAACCAGAAATAGTACAGTAGGGGTCATAAATTTGGACACACCTCGCGCGTTAAACTATAATTTATTCGTTCTTTTTGCTAATAAGAGCTTTTTGCTAATAAGAGCTACCGAAAGCGACTATTTTATGAAGTTTTTTATCCCTTTTCATTATTTCTGCATGAATTTGGCTTTTACTTTCATTCTCATGTATTTTTGAGCTACTTTACCCGAGAAACCCACTTTCTAGGGGATCATAACTTTGAACACACTTGTTGAATACATGGTTTTCTTTAGAGGCCATCAAAGAAAATCTTGTCTAACGACTTGAAGGAACGTTTGGTAGCCAATATGAGTCAAGGAATGTCGTCTAGGGATGCTGCACAGATGTTTGGAATCACATTTTCGGCGGCTGCTAAGGTCTACCGCAAATGGAAAGAAACAGGGTCGATCGAACGGAAAATTGGTGGAGGACCACGACCAAAAGTTCCCCTAAGAACTGCCACTGCTTTGGTTCGATCAGTGAAGAAAGATCCGAGAAAGACGTCAAGCGATCTTCATCGAGAGGCTCACCAATACCATGGCCTCACCATCTCTAAGATCTCTCTAAGTACATCATAACTTTGGAAAAGCTTTAGAAAACGGGCAATTTATTCAAAATTAACAAAGAATAACTAATATTTCGTTGCAAAATCGATAATGACTGTTGCACAACGCTGTGGCATCGAATTGATCAATTTGTCGATAGTGGCCTGAGGAATTTTGGCCAATTCATCTTTTGGCCCATTCATCTTTTGGCCCATTCATCTTTTGGCCCATTCATCTTTTGGCCAATTCATCTTTTGGCCCATTCATCTTTTGGCCCATTCATCTTTTGGCTCATTCATCTTTTGGCCCATTCATCTTTTGGCTCATTCATCTTTTGGCCCATTCATCTTTTGGCCCATTCATCTTTTGGCCCATTCATCTTTTGGCCCATTCATCTTTTGGCCCATTCATCTTTTGGCCCATTCATCTTTTGGCCCATTCATCTTTTGGCCCATTCATCTTTTGGCTCATTCATCTTTTGGCCCATTCATCTTTTGGCCCATTTATCTTTTGGCCCATTCATCTTTTGGCTCATTCATCTTTTGGCCCATTCATCTTTTGGCCCATTTATCTTTTGGCCCATTCATCTTTTGGCTCATTCATCTTTTGGCTCATTCATCTTTTGGCCCATTCATCTTCTCTTTTTTCATTTCTACAAACCCTGTCTCTTTTTTTCATTTCTACAAACTTTACACTTATTTATTTGAGTATTTCCAATTCCCCATCACCTCCTTGGGGATTAGCAGTGGCTTATTTAAGATATTTAGATCTAGATCCATCTCGTTTTTCTCCTTTTTCACTTAACTCGCGCATTTTTTGTAATACAGATGACCCCCGGGGGAAAGGAGTCAAATTACCGTCACTCAATTAACATTTGGGGAGAAAACTAGTACTAATACTGGTAAAGCTAACTACTACAGTACTACGGATGTGAGAATAGTAAAACCAATAAGGTTTTATTGCGTAAAACTACAGGACAAGATTTTTGTACAAAGAGGATTAAAAGAATTTGAAAATTTAAAAGATCAAAAGATTCCCGTCAACCTTTTCTTCGTTTTCTCATTCCTTCAAATTCGACTCATTCAAATGGATCTGTTAGATGGATCACCGGTTGAGTTCTTCTTTCAGTTATCCTTTCAATTCTTCTTTCAGTTCTTCTTCAATTCTTCTTTCAGTTCTTCTTTCAGTCCTTCTTTGGAGTTCTTCTTTCAGTTCTCTCTCCAATTCTCTTCAATTCTTCTTTCAATTCTTCTTTCAACTCTTCTTTCAGTTATCCTTTCAGTTCTTCTTTCAGTTATCCTTTCAGTTATCCTTTCAGTTATCCTTTCAGTTATCCTTTCAATTCTCCTTTCAGCTCTCCTTTCAGCTCTCTCTTCAATTCTCTCCAATTCTCTTCAATCCTCCCAGTTCTCCCCTTCAATACCTTTCCCCAATCCATCTTTACGACCTGGGATTTGCATGCCCATAAAGCAATCCCTTGATTTCCCCGTATTGCGCGCTAATGACAAGGTTTTGAGTTTTCAAATCCCCAGATAATTTCGGAATTAACCGGAATTTTACAACAACAACACAACAGATAAAAAACTAGTAACAAAGTCTTTTAAAGACTAAAACTCAAGTGTTATGCTTAAAGAAGTGTACCTAAGTTCAGTATAAACAAGTAGGTTAGATATGGATAAGGCTACAGCAAAGATAGGCTCTTCAGTTTACAAGGATTAGGCAACAGTAGGCTCTTTAGCCTAAGCCTAAGCTAATAGACCAGATCTCTTACAGTAGTCTATCATATAGAGGGTACAATAAGCTACAGTAGGCTACAGTAGGCTACAGTGGGCTACAGTAAGCTACAGCAAGCTACAGTGGGCTACAGTAGGCTTCAGTAGGTTACAGTAGGCTACAGTAGGCTACAGTAGGCCAGAGTAGGCTACAGTTGGCTACAATCGTCCACAATAGGCTACAGTAGGCCACAATCGGCTCTTCAGTTTACTACAAGCATTAGGCAACGGTACCTATGCATTAGCAGGTTCTCTCACAGCAGTCTACGGCATACAGTAAGCCATAGTATGCAGTTATGAATACAGTAAGCTTTAGTAGTCTTTTCTATAGCAGCTTACTGTATACAGTAGGCTGCAGACATCTATGAATACAGTAGGCTGTAGTAGATTCCCTTACAGTAGCCTTTATGTAGTAAGCTTTGACAGTAGCCTCCTACATTAAAGTACGAAAGACTGTAGCAGTAAGTTCTGTGGTAAGCTAGCTTTGCTCTTTTTACGGCCACAGATCATCCGGCCACAGATCATCCGGCCACAGATCATCCGGCCACAGATCATCCGGCCACAGATCATTCGGTCAACTCCAAAAGCCAAGGCAATAATCTATGGATAACTCTATCTTCTTCAAACCCCCAATTTCCGCTTTTACCAGGTCATAGAGCTTTCAGCTACATGATCATAGGGTTTTTTGTTTTTGTCGGCTTTCTCCAAGACTGGCCATTCATTCAGAAAAAGGAGACTTTTTTCCATCCAATCTTTTTCCTTTCCTTTCCCATTTCCTCCATGGTGTGCCGCTAATCCGTTCGGGTCACTCGTACCCTTTTTGGGATGGGAAAAAAAGGATTCTTTTCTTCAACACCATTAGACTTCAAAGGGATCATTTCTTTAGCAAAATGACTTCAAAGAAGAGATGAAGAGTTGCGCAATTGAGCAGACTAATTGATACGCTTTCAATTTCTCAATGTGTCAACTGAAAACAACTAAAAGAAAGACGATTTGATTTTTAGTAGAGTTTATACAACAGTTATTGCAAATCAACATCGGTACTCTGAATATTTGTCGAGCTCTCATTTCCACACAAACACTTCATTTTTCGGTGGCTTTTTGGGGGATGAATCGAAAGGGTTGAGCGGGGGGGTGACAGATCGTTTTCTGTTCGATTGTCTCTCAAACACTTGCCGCCTCTCATTGTCGACTCTCACCCACTCATTTCCCCCAACAAATCCATGAGACAACAGGTGCACATATCTGAATACATATCTGTATACCGAGTATCTCTTTTCGATCTCAGCCAAGTGAAGGGAACAGATGGGTGGATTTGGTGGAAAAATGGTTGGATGAATTGAAAAGATGGAAAGATTTGATGGATAAGATTTCGGCAAGAGTTGAACTCTGGCAAAAGTTGAACTTTTAGCCCGATTGCTATAGATGGGATTGATGGGATTGACTTTCTATAGTCAGAAAAGCTACAATAGATGACTACAATAGTTACAGTAGAGTTCAAAAGATTTCTAAAGACTTCTAAAGATTTCTAAAGATTTCTAAAGCTTTCAAAAGATTCCAAAAGTTTTCTAAAGATTTCTAAAGACTTCAAAAGCTTTCAAAAGCTTTCAAAAGACTTCTAAAGATTTCTAAAGATTTCTAAAGGCTTCAAAAGCTTTCAAAAGACTTCAAAAGGTTCCAAAAAATTTCTACAGATTTCTAAAGACTTCAAAAGCTTTCAATAGACTTCAAAAGGTTCCAAAAGATTTCTACAGATTTCTAAAGACTTCAAAAGCTTTCAATAGACTTCAAAAGCTTTCTAAAGACTTCAAAAGACTTCAAAAGCTTTCAATAGACTTCAAAAGCTTTCTAAAGACTTCAAAAGACTTCAAAGCTTTCAATAGACTTCAAAAGCTTTCTAAAGACTTCAAAAGATTCCCAAAGTTTTCCAAAAGAAGACTCACATCTACATTTGACCGGTTTACTGGTTGAAACATCGGTTTTATCGGTTTTATCAGTTTTATCGTTTCAACTAAAACTTTGACTCTAATTGTAAGATCTCATTTGTTAGCTGTTCAAAAATACTTTCCTTTCACGATCAATTCCACTTTAGAAGAATGCCATCGAGCACTCGGAATGGAGAACGGTCAGATTGACGATGAACAAATCACCGCCTCTTCCTCGTTTGATCTATTGAGTACAGGGCCTCAGAACTCAAGGTAAGAATTGTTTTGTTGAGAAATAAAGGTTCAAGTCAAGTCTTTGTTCAAGTCTTTGTTTTAATCTCAATGTTGAATCAAAATCGAAACAAATCTTTTCAAAACTGTTGCAAGAACTGTTACTGGCTAGTTACTGTCACTGGCTAGTTACTGTTACTAGCTAGTTACTGTTGCTAGCTAGCTACTGTTACTGGCTAGTTACTGTTACTAGCTAGTCACTGTTACTAGCTAGTTACTGTTGCTAGCTAGTTACTGTTACTAGCTAGTTACTGTCACTAGCTAGTTACTGTTACTATCTAGTTACTGCTACTGCCTTCCAGGATAAGATCTTTAATCAATTTTTTGTGAAGCCTTTGAATTGGAGACCATCAAGACATTGGAAACCATTAAGACGAACTTTAAGTTGTCTTTAAACCATAAAACTTTAAACCATAAGACTTTAAACTTTAAGACTTTAAAACTATAAAACTATAAACTTTAAGACTTTCTAACTTTAAGACAAACAAATTTCAAACTTTAAATTCCAACCAGCCCTCAAATTCCCAATCCACGCTAACCACATCAATCTGTTATCGGGCAAATGATTGAAATGAAGGAAAGGGATCTACTCGAGTGTGCCGGAATTACTAGTTAGCCGGCAGCTTGATCCTTGAGGAATTCTCTCTCCTCAAGGCGATAACTCTCTTTTGGGTAGAGGGGATCTCTAATTGGTGGAACGCTTGAGGGAATCCCCTAGAGCCATATGTCCTCTTTGGAGAAGAGACCAAGACTGGGTTGATGAGCATACGTTCGTTAGAAAGGACAGGATAAAAGATCATAAGGGACAGGATAAAAGATCATAAGAAGAAGAAAAAACGAACTATGACAACGTTGACAGCCTTGACAGCCTTAAAATAGCCTTAAAGCCTTAAAATAACACTTACTCAACTATATTTTCAAAGCAGATAGAAATTTGCTGATCGAGATTTGCCTGGAGTAGTTCTTGAAGCTTTTTCAACTTCATTTTGGTTTCATTTAGCTTTAACTGGATTCATTTGGTTCCTAAAAATATTGGATTACTCAAAATATGAAAATTGTTAGCTATATTAGCTATATTCTTTTGAAAACACTATATTCCATAGAACAATGCTTTCATGAGCCTCAAATTCTGACTTTCATGAGCCTAAGCCTAAGCCTGAGCCTGAGCCTAAGCCTGAGCCTAAGCCTAAGCCTAAGCCTTAACAAAACTTTGCATCTTATAACTTTTGACAGAGTGCTCCAAATCAGAAACGGAAAGCAGATTCGGAATCAGCGTAAATCAGAAATGATTCTGTTGGTTATTCTGCGTCGAATAACCTTCGGCGCATAGCATTTAGCCACCATATTCAGTTGACATTTAGTAGCTCGACTTCAAGCAACGAGTATTGCTTGCTTCAACTACCTAATTATAAGATTATTCAAGTCCTTATCAGCTTCGACTTCCTTAACGATTATTCAAGTTCGACTGTCCTTATCGACTGTCCTTCGACTGTCCTTATCGATTATTCAAGTCCTTTAACGTTTAGTTAAACTAGTGGTTTAACGTATTTGCCCATTATTAGGTTAATTTTAAACTCAAATCTTAAAGCTGCTGATCGAAATTTGCCTGGAGTAGTTCTTGTTCTAGTTCTTGCAGCTTTTTCAACTTCATTTTGGTTTCATTTAGCTTTAGCTGGATCAATTTGGTTCCTAAAAATATTGAATTACTCAAAATATGAAAATTGTTAGCTATATTAGCTATATTCTTTTGAAAACACTATATTCCAATGCTTTCAAGATCAATGCTTTCATGAGCCTCAAATTCTGACTTTCCGGGGCTTAGAAACTGGCGCGGATTTATGAGGTTTTTTGATGGGATTTCTGCGAGGCACCTGGCAAGGAAGGGACAAATTGTAGCCTTCAAAGAAATATAGGATTTCTTCATGTTTACAGACAAACAACCCAATAACGCTATACAGTAATTTTCTTGGAATTAAAAGCAAGAAGAGAACATCTGTCCCGGATGTTTTCTGGGATCTCCCACAGTGTTGGGTAGTGGAGTAGGGAAGTGAATCCAAATGGAGTCTCTCTTTTTTGAGTTCTTTTCGGTTGAAATGACTATAATTAGCACACATCTATGGGTCAAATAAGCGGCTCATTTTCATTGAGAATATAGGGGTAATTTGGTGGGGAGCAAGGCGTTTTTTTGAATGAAAAGTAGCTATTTTCGATTATTTTTTGAGATTTTTGATCATTTTTGGTCATTTTTGACTATTTTTGATCATTTTTGATCATTTTTGAAAGCTCAAATAGATTTTACCTGTTCTTAAAAGCCGGATTACCGGTAATTGATCCTCTATACTTGATTAGATAAAGAAATATCTTGATCAGAAGAAAGCAGAAGGAGAAAAAAAGGTCAA